AATGCACTGTATCAGCATTTGGATAATTTGCATAACTCAGGGAGCCACTAGTTTCCAAATGCTGAATGCATTATATTACAAATCATACTTGGCCAAAAGAGCCATTCAAAGTGCAAACTAGAATGATGGTTTTACTGCAAAGTACTACAAAAAGATCAAGGATAGGGTTTCTGATTTCACGTTACAACTAGTCTTTAAGAATCTATCATGTTGAGTTTTAGTGTAGCATTAAAGAACACCCAAAACTACACTGTAGGCTATTAAGAACTCCTGGAATCTCTTCATTTTCTTCAACCAAAACAACAAAAATTGAATACAGAAACAAATACAAGAACCCAGCTGTGTTCCATTAAGCCAGACATGTAACTGTAAAATGTGGTCACTCTTTCATTATTTTTTTCTTTTTGAAATAAAGTTATTTCCCATTAAGAGATGCTATTCATGTCAACCTATAAATGGGTCTATTATTGGTAGTTTTAAATGAACTAAACAAATATTTCTAAAATTTCTTGGTTTTAACTTCTTTTTTTAAAGTCATTTTTATTTATTTACTTATTTTTATTTGGGGGGTAATTAGGTTTATTTATTTACTTATTTATTTTATTATTTTAGAGGAGGTACTGGGGACTGAACTCAGGACCTCCTGCACGCTGAGCACGCACTCTACCACTTGAGCTATACTCTTCCCCCCATTTTAACTTCTACTATGATAAACAATGATATATTTATTGTAATATATAAACAAAAGTTATTTAAGGTCCTCAATAATTTTTAAGAATATTAAGGCATACAGAGATCGACAGATTTAAGAATTGCCAATATATGATAATAATTATTTGAACAACCACTTTGAGTATCTACTTTACACTATGCTAGAAACTAGAGCTTATAAGATTAAAGGCACCATCCCTGCCCTCAAAGAATTTCTAATTTCACAGAGGGTGTAATTCTCGATTATAATAATTTTACTGTAAAGAAAAAAATACCCTTCATTTTAAGTGTCTTATAGGCGCATTTTTTACATCTGGGTATCTCCAATGGCAATTAATATTGTACATGGCACACAGTAATGCCTACAGACTTAGTGATCCAACAGAGTTAAGCATCAGAAAGCCATGTATCATGCCATGCAATTAGGGACTGTGCTTTATCTAAATATTTTTACATAGGCTTCAGACACCAACTGCTCATTATGGTGAAAAATGTGCTCCCATCCTTAGTTACAAGATGGCATTAGCAGCGTGAAGACCCTGAGGTTACAACTATAATGCAGCCTTTTGATTCAGACTTAAACTTAAGAAACAAATCTTTTTAGGTCATATTATGGTTTTTAACAAATTTTTTTCTTTCAGATTTTTATGCCAAATAATTCGGATAATAGGATAGGGGAGGAAATAGCAGCTTAGGTCAAGAATCTGAATAGTCATAATACGGAAAAGTGAGGCCCTGATGCTGTTCCCACAGCCCCAGGAGACAGAACCCAAAAGTGGGAATTACAAGGAGAAACAAAGATCGCATGTGTGTGTATGTGTGTATGTGTGAATGAATATAAAGTGTGTGTGTGAATAGATGTAAAAGCCGAGGTAATAGCTTAATTAGCAATAGAAATGATGCTTGAAGGTCAGAGGTCAGACTAGACAAGAGGTTCTCAACAATTTTCTGCTCTAACCCAAAGCAGGTATGTTCCCATCAGCAACAAGTGGTGGGAGCTGAAACACAGGGTGTGTGCAGGCTGGGGGGAGGGGGTGGATGCCGCCCCAATTCCGGGCTGAGAAGCATCGGGCAGGATACTCACAGGCCCCCTCTGATTCTGTGATGACCTGGGGATTTTAAAGGATTCTGGCAAACTTCTAGGTGGCATTTCCTAAGTAAGAGGAGTAGTCTCCACTCCTCACTTTTGGATGTAGCTACACCAGAGACTGAAAGCGAGTGGGGAGTATAAAACACGAAGGCCGGGATTACACGCAAGCTCCCCCTTATCTAACCACACGCTGTCTGAACCAAGAGAATAGTGTGTTGACCTGCATTTCAGCTTCACTGACCGTTTTCCTGGATTTCTCACCCACTAGCTTGTTCTCTGACCCTTCTACAAAAATGTTTCTAATTACTGAATTGGAAAAGCCACAAGAGAGCAAGTCTAACCTGATCCAACGGAGACACAACAACAATGCACCTTAAACATCTGTATGCTTTTCCCTTCTGCAAATTCATCACCTTAAATGTCATGCAAATTCAATCTCTGCCTACATGACATGATGCCATTTTGTGAATATTTTCCCCAGAATTTCTACAAATTCAGCTATCGCAAAATGGCAACTGAGTAACTCTTCTCATGAAGGCAAAGAGCCTTCTCTGGCTTACTTCATCGTGGAATGGGTACTAAATTCAGGCTTGGGGAAACGCCTCTCTGAACTCCAGTATCTGAACTGCTTACTGTGCTGTCTAGCAGCAGTTCCCCAGTTCTCTCCAAAAGCTTGGCTCTGAATTGAACGTGGGGACACGTTTAAAAACTGCACACTACATATGAGTAAATACACTCAGTTTCCATCTTTAACATTGTGTACAAGCTGTGGCAACATCTGGTGTTTTGCAAACTTGGCCACAACCAGCTGCATTCCTTTTCCAAATGTGCCCTCTGACATGTGAGGGCTGTATTTCAGTTTGAATTTCACACTCTCTCTAGGATAGTATTGTGTGATTTCAAACATGCATTGTATCTAAACTTCATACTTTCCCTCTCTGAATGGAAAATTGAAAGCTTGCCAATTAATAAAAGGAGAAGAAAGATAAAGCTAGACTAAAGATGTAATTTAGTGTGTCTGTGCCCCTTTTCTACAGCTTACTGACTCAGTAGAGAACCACTTCTTGATATAGTTTACAATAAACGAATATCTTGCTGAAAACTACACCACCTGAACTAAGAGAAAGAAACGCTGTAATCAATTGACTCAGTCCTTCCTGGGTCAGCTACGCAGCTTTTCCTCAGGAAAAAAATGCACATATGCTCACAACTGTCATGCATTTTCAGGTGGCTGGTTGAAGGGTATCTTAAAGATACACAATTAAGAAACTAAGGTGATGAAAATGTGCTATAATTCAAAATCATCTGACTTCAAACATCATATGTAACTGAAACTGAGTAGATTCTCCATCCAGCTCGTCAAGTTGTTTAATCAGGAGTGAATAAATCAGGAGAGTCTGGACTGTCTGCCCACCTCCACATGCACACTCACAACTAGCACACGGCCTTGGCTGGCCATGCTAGGCTTTGTCCCTGCCCTCCTGTAAAACATGTAAAACCTCCTTCCGTCTGGGCCCCTCCGTCTTCCTGGCCACTCTGCTTGCTCGTCAGGCTCCTTCAGCCAGTTCACAGGAGCCATTTTCTTGGATTGCAACTCCCTACGTGGTTCAGCCCCTCCCTTCCAACACGTACTTTCTGCATTGCTAGTACCTACTCGGACTCGAACCTCGTCATCCTTGGAGACTGAAATCCAATGTTTGCTGGACTGTTGTCTTTTCAGACATTGCGAGGTGCCTGCCTGGCCTTCCTCATTAGGCTCGGCCCTGCTCTGCACCCATCCCACGACAGGCTGCTCCGCTTGGACTGAAAATGCTTAGGGCTCTCTGGTCCCACTGCCCTCCCTTGACTCTGGCTGTTTGTTCCACAACTTCTTAGAGACAGTACAGCTTGCTGGTTAGGAGCAAAGGCCCGGAATAAGCCTCCTGGGGCTGAAATTGTGGCCCCTCTATTACCAAGTTAACTCTGTCGAACCTCTGTTTCCCCCTTCCTATTAAAATCAGGGTAATACTATTATCTGTTTCACAGATTACTCAGTCTCAGCCTGATTACAGAGGCTGAACCACAGAGGCAACAAGTAGCAGGTTCAAAGTTCAAAGCCACAGGACTCCAAACCTGTGTTCTTTTCAAATATATTGTGCTACTTCCTTTAACAATCATCCTCATTTTTTCCTTAAAAAACAACAAAAAATGATTATTTCCTTTTTACAGCAATGGCTGTAAAATTTAAAACCAAGTATTAACTAAACTGGGTTATAATAATAAGGAAATGAAGTCCTGAGTTACCCACAACTGTTAATCTAGCAAGTTAGTTGAAACTAGTATTCCCCATGGATGCTTCAGCCTCCACCTGTGCCAACCTCCAAGTGAATGCCCTGCATCCTTGGCCTCTGCACTCAACTTGCAGGGTAATACTCGCTATAATAAACATACATGGGATCGGGTACAGGGCAGACTTGCCAACCTGGGGGAAAGAGAAGGCAGCGGCAAAGATGGGCAAGAGAAAATGAAAAGGAAGTTTCAAGTACAACCCAGTTCAGAAACCAGGGGCTGGGAGATTTTCTAGGAGAGATTATGCCGTGTCCAAGCAGTGAGAAATTTACATTTGTTTCACAGTGGTGTCCGGGTGGGAGGGCAGGAAGGGGAGGAGAAGGACCCACATCTCCTGTTCTGAGTGAAACTACACGTGGTTGAAGGATCGAGAGCCGGAATCAGAGCCCAGTTAAAGGGCTCAGACCTGAGCATGGAGTGGACATTGGAAAATGCGACAGAGAAACCCATGGGTAATTTTATCATCAAATCATGTACTACATGGTATTCATGGGAAGTTTCTTTAAGACCTCGATTTAACCACAGCTAAGCTGTCAGCCTGGCGCGGAAGGCAGGCACTGGAGGTTCCTCCCGACTGTCAACTGGAAAGAACAGCACGGGGCAATTACCATAAAATGACATGAGAACTACAATATGTGCAAAATGCACGTGCAGATTAGAACAGTCATGCCGGACTCAGGCTACTTGCACGACTGTGGCAGGAAAATGACTTCTCAGTGAAAACACCTCGTGCTTGGTAAAAACCAAAAACGCCTAACACGTAAGTACTCCCCATCTCAACGGAGGAAATGAAAACAAAATCTACAGAACGTAAGAGCGATTTTGTTTCTTTTAAAGTGTTCAATCTACTTTAAATGATCTTTTCGGTTACCTTGGTCACAGCTTTCGGAGAGAATGTAACCGCATCCACCACAGTGATGAGGTCCCCCGGGCGCAGGCGATCGAAGTACTTCGCGCAGACGTCGAAGGCCTGCAGCCACTCTGGGCAGGACGCTGGGACTTGCTTAATGAGGTGAGGGTCTCCGGTCCAGAACAACTTCTGCAACCAGATGGTGTACAGAGAGCTTGGCGAAAGCATCCGTCCATCCTTTTCAGGAATTTTGGGAACAAGTTTAGAAATAGATAAGATATTCTGACTTGAAAGGACTGGCTCCAATGCCTCAAGAGGATTCGTGTTTTCATCCGTCAGCTTTTTATAATTAAGACCTATTGAAAAGAAAAGGAAAAAAAGGAGTAGTTCATTCCAACATAAACACACAGGAGCTTTCAAACACACGCGCAGCCCCTTGCATGGCTGGCTGAGAAGCCTTCTCTAGCAATGTAGTCACAGCGGACAGCTTAGTCTGGCAATCAGTTCCATCAGAAGATCTGAGTTCAAAGTCTCTGCCTGCAACTTAGTGAACGGTGCAGTCCTCAACAGGTCACTCGGCTCCTGCGTGCCCGTCTTCTCATCCGGGCACTGGTGACAGCCATACCTCCTCGCTTCTTCAGTCCCTCCGTGACATCTATGTTTCTTTCCATGACTGTGCTCCCCAGGCTGCATGACATTCGCCATTCATCTGGCATCTCATCTGAAGGCAGGGATGGAACCTTACCCCCTTTCCTCTGTGTCTAGTCCAGGGTCTACTTCAGTTACCCCGTAAACCACTGAGAAACGAAGTAAATGCTCGCAATTGTTACAAGCATCAGATGAATGTAGATTTGAAAGTGTCTTGCAAATTATAAAGAACCACACAGATTTGAGAGGTATGAATTCTTAGCTGTGAGTGTAAAGACACAGAGACACCATTCTAAAGATCTTCACTATTTATCAAAGATTCAAAGGCTCTGATTTTAAGGGTTTCATATACACTTCAAACATACAGGCCCCACTGAAGTGAAATTCTGCCAAACTGCCTGTTGTCATTTACATAGAGAAAACATAAATATGGGCGTATGGAGAAAGCCTCTGGAGCATTCATCAGAAACTCTGGATATTAGTAGCAGGTCTACTTAAGTCATTGTATGACAAGTTTCTCTGGTATTTAATTCCCTCAAC